GGAAGGCTCACAGGTCCCTCCCTGTCTTTACCAAGGGGAGCTCCAGCTCGCATGCTCCAGTAATACAAGAAGGAAAGGCTTCAGACACACAAGTCCTAGTCCGCTTGTAACAATAATTAAGAATAGCATCATCAGAAACATTCACTGATAGACCAGTTTTTAAAAAGTATAATAAATCAGGGCACGCACAGACTTCCAGTTGTCATCATGTCATGAATGTCCCGATTTACTGCAATAAATTGCTCAACATCATCTATAAACAGCAATAAAAGTCATCCCATTGTTTACTCCGACGAGACATTGTTTTGTGAGACTGTGGAAAGCTTAAAAACAATGCCAGCAGACTGGGAGCTCGGGAACAGCTCTGGAACTGATGGTGCTTGGTTCAACCTGCCCCTGGTAGCCACTGGGTGGAACACAGTGTTCTTCTGACACATGGAAGCTGGTTCATTTGCAGAAAGGTTTGAAAACAACAGAGGCAAAACAACAAAAACACCACAATGAAGAAACCCCACAGCAAGAGAAGCTGCTTTCTTCCACTTATGCAGTTGAAACTAGTTCGGTGTTTTGGTTTTCTTTTTTCATCCTTATGGTTTCACATTTAAGAAAACATAGCTTATCATTTAGAGAGAAAAAGCACTTAATTGTGGCTTTGTTTTTGTTTGTTTGTTTTTAAAACAAAGTGCCTTTTAGATGTTCAGCTTCGGAGACATGTCACAAGATAGCTGTACGATGCCAGACTGCCCAGGATAGAAAAATAATGGTTAGGCAATAAGCACTAAGCTTTCAGAAGTCATCATTTGTCTTTGCTGCAGAATGTGCTGGTTAAGAGCATTTTTCCTGCCCCGTCACTCACAGCAAAACGTGTGGGGAGAGGGAAATGTTTTGATCTGCAGGAAAATTACACAAGTCTCTCTCATGTGATAAATTATGATGCATCTTTTCCAAAGCCCACAGCCAGCTGGAGAAGTGTTTTTCCCCTAGTCATGCCAAGTGTGATATCTGATTATACACATCGCATCGATTCCCATCCCCTGCAATGTTTATTGATGTTGAGGTTTAAAGGGCAAGGAACTTATTTATCCCGAAGATCTCTCTCGATGTCCCTCAAGATCCTATGTCATAAATACCTATGTGGATTTTTTAGTTGTTAGGGGTTTTTGTTTGTTTTTCTTTTCAAACCCACTACCCAGGTATCCTGCAGACTAACTCTGCTAGAAAAAGTTGAATTTGCAAAAGGACTGCTTCTTTGCTGCTGCATTCTGGGAGAGGGAACGGGAAGGATGCTGCCTTCCAGGAAAGCAGCAAAGTGTGGGCAGCTGGGAAAAGTTCCCGTAGAGATGGATGGGACAAAGCCACAGCTACCAGCAGAGCAGAGCCAGTCCTGACCAAAACAGAGGTAGATCAGAAGTCAAGTCCCACTGGTCTCAAGAACAAGACTTTTCTGACACCCACTAGAGTCAGAGGGCAACCTCTGAGAGCTACAGAGCTGGAAAACAGGGGTCTCCCCCCTCCAGTAACACCACTGCAGCACTTTTCTCTCTGAGTGCCATTCAATCCCACAGCCCTTACCCACGCTGAACAGTGCTTGGGCAAGCAGCCACATCCACGAGGATGCAGCACAGGATGTGACTGCAATAGAACCACTGGCAGGAGCAAGCACTCCCCAGCAGGAGCTCAGGTCAGGAGACCATGGAAGGAAGATGGAAAAGTGGTATAAAGCCTTGGCTTTCATGAAGCTGTTGACCTTCAAAGCACTCATATTTCAATCAGCTCTATGGCAAAGATACTACAACATTTCAAACTCACATGGGCCAAAAGGTAACGAAGCTGGTTACAATTTTTCTGATGACTTTTCCTTTTTCAAAACCACTGACGGGGCAAAACCAGAACTGCTCACTGAAGGTTTCAAGAAAAAAAAACGTTGCTAACCTTTTGAAATATGCTTTGAAACTATCACTGTGGCCTGTGCAGGAAAGTTCTGCTGTAACCACGTTGGTTTAAGGGAAATCCAACATTCTGTTACGAAATTCTAGTGAATGTTAACACAGAGACAAACAGAATACTCTTCATCTTAAAGAGTCTGCATTGGCTCTTATGGAAATTAGCAGCACAGAGAAGGAGACAGCTGTGTCATTCTGTCATTCATAGAGACTGGCCTTTGGTCACACTGCAATGGGGGAAAGTTTCTTTTCCCACCTTTCTCTACCCACATCAACTCAAATTTCTGGGGGGCATGAAAACACTATCATCATCCCTCCCACATGCTGAAAAACTACTGTGTTGTGTGTTTGCTTGTTTTTGCCTTTTCTGTCTAAGGAAACAGAAAAAAATTATCAAAACTTTGCATTGCACGTTACACTTCAAACATTCTTTATGACCATCAGACTGCTTACTAGAGAGCACTTACTCTAAGTAGGCTGTTAGTGGAAGATACTGGATTTCCAAAATTAAAACTGAACAAGCATTTGCACACTAGTGAAGCAGTGACCGAGGCCAACAGCTTAAACAGATTTGCATATCTACATGTCTCCAGGTGAAAACTATCATCAGATGAAGCAAGCAAGCTTTAATTGAATGTGCCAGGTGCACGAGGATCTGGCAAGCATGAAAACACGTGATTCCAAACTACATATTTAAGGGCTTGCATGCAATTTTAATACAGTAATAAAACATGCTAGTCCTATCATAAACAATGCTTACAGTTGAGATCATTATATCTAAGTTTCATAACACCACAATTTTACAATAACTTTCTAAAAATATTTGCAAATAGTCTCTGTCACAGAACAAGTCAAAAGTTACAAACTGTCAAGGGCATGCAGCCACTTTTACCTTTCCTAAACTCTATGAAGTTCTTGTACCTACTATTTCCATAATAGCTAACTATACATTTCAGACTGTGCCCAAGAGGAAATGCTAAGATCATGACTGAAGTGGAATTTAAAAAGGCTTACTCTGCTCCTTGGAGTATTACGGCTTGAAATCTTCTGAACTTCATTTATCTCCATCTGATAGTCAACCACTACAGCAGGCTTTTATGCAATGATATTACTTTAGCCACATGACCCTCCACAGTTAATAAACTCTGTTCTGTGATGTGCAAGAAACCACCTGCAGAGAATAGGCACAAGGACTGGACGTGCAACCACCAGTAACCACAAAAAGCTCCAGTCTTTCTGGGATCATCCTGACTACTGCAAATGAACCCAGTCAAGCTAAAAATAGAAGAAGATATCTCAACCACGTGCAGTTCAACTTCTTTCCTGTTATGCCAGTTTGGGGTTCCATTTATTGAAGGTTCCTGAGCAGTTAATTACAAATATCCCCCTCTTCTGTTTCACTACTTGCTTATTCTCATCATCTAACAAACCCCCAAGGCGAACTCAATTTTCACATGTAAGCTAGGGACTTAAAAAATAACACTTCTGCTATAGAGGTGTTAAAAGGCCAAGTAGCTCTGTAAAAGCCACTGGGGGTTCAAGTCAGGTTACAGAAACCTGTCCCAGTCCTGGTCGTGCTGTCCCCAAGGCTTCACATCTCCCAAGCACTCCCAGGAGCAGAAAGGAGGTGCAGGGAGATGCAAACTAAGTGTCTCAGAGCACAGAGCTTTTGCAAACTGTTCTGGCTGGCTATGCATGGAGATCAGCTCAAATGTCTGTATGTTCATGGTATACTTAATCCCCAAGGACGCTTAAGAGCATACCATGCGGGAGAACGTGTAAAAACAACAGTATCAACAACAAAGCTCAGAATTTTCTGGTACTGGCAGTTCAAGAGAGATCATTAATGATATCTGAGAACAGCATTCTGTGCCAATGACTCCAGCTATAAAAACATGGCCACTCTGGAACACAACTTCAAATCATTTGAGAACAGAAGCCTCCACACATTTCTCCAGGCAGACATACAGGAAAGGCTTTATAGAAAAAGATCACTCAATCTAGGTGTACTTCTCATTCCCAGAAATATTTTGGCTTACCTCCTGGATGCGTTGCTCCAAATGACTGATCAATTTGTTCTATGGTTGGAGCAATTGCCTGAGAGTTAAAATGGACACCACTGAAAAACAAAACGAGTCTGCCCTAAGAGTGCTGAATGGATGATTATAAACGTTTACTAAAGGCAACAACACATTTAAATTGGAAAAGTCTCCAAGACTGAAGGAAATGAGTAAGCTTCCTCAAACACAATATTTGGTTATCTACATTTATTTATTAACAGTTATTGTTTTCTTAACAAGAACAGTTAAAAAATGAATTCAGAACGAAAAAAGGAGAGGAACCAGTCACTGGAATCAAGAAAAGATCGTTGGAGGTCTTAAATACTTACCAATATTTTAACTTCACCTTAGTCAAGTCATAAACTTCAATCACCTGAAACACAGGAAACAAACATTACCACATTCGCACATCAAGCAGAGGCAAATTCTTATCAGAAGGCAGAGCCAGCTTGTAGTACTTGGTTCTCTCCCTATCAGCTCTGCTAGGATAAATCGCAGGCTGACAAAATTCCAAGAATTCATTCACTAATTGCACATCCAAAACAGTACTGAAGAACAGCAGTGAACTCAGCACGGTACCCCTGGGTCCTGTATAGGTCAGTACTGATACACAGACAGTAGCCTTTCCACTAGCATGCCAGCATCTTGATTTCTGCACAGACTACTCTTAGGCAAGACCAAAAGTAATCCAGTTAGGAGATCCTCTAAAGAAAACCAAGCAGCAGGCCATTCTTTGGGTCACTCTTACTACCTTGAAGTCTCGCTACCTCTACAGGGCAGCAATTCCTAGTGCTGACTGCACCGCTACCACTTCCCAACTTTTTTTAAAAAAGGAAAAGATAAATACAGCAGAACTAAGCAGTAACATTCCAGTTCCATCTCTCCAAGCACTGCAGAAAATGTGAAGAGTAGTCCAGAAGGAACCAAAGCCACAGTACTTAGCTCTAATGTATACTAAATATTTCACACTTCATTGAATGTTCCAGGGGGATCCCCTGGAGTCATTACTAGACATATCAATATTAAGTATGGCTCTTTTGTTCCAAATACATCATTGCAAACTGGCATTCCAGAGTGATTTTATGTGATTTTCAAGTGACTGTTACTAGATTTCTGGGGCTACACTGGGCTTTAGGCAGATTATAGATCGGCGAGTAATCACGGTCAAACAAAATCTTCTTCCACCCCATATTCATGCTCCTCTGTCTGCAGGGAAAGGAAAATAGGCAAAGCCCATTCTAATTGCTGTCAAGAAAATGTGCTCTTCATGCTTTAGAAGGATGCACTGTTCAGCCGGAGCACAAAGCAGAACTCTGCAGGGACAAAGCAGAACTCCTTGTACCCGTGTGTGGCTGTAAAGCCCAAAAATATCGCCAGCGAAGAAGGAAGTCCTGGTTTGGGGAGATGCCTGGCAAATAACCCTAAATAGAGCTACTTGCAATGCCCAAACCACTATATATTAAAAAAATGAAAGAAAAATCAACATTTAGTGGTATGCTGTTGACTCATAAAAAAGCTGGAAGAGTTCTCCGAAGCATTTCTAGTTTGCTTGGAAAGCCCACAAGTTTCAAGACACAAGCAACAAGCATAGCACAAAGCACGTAACTTTAAAATTATGGCAAAGCTACCCTAAAGAAACACAGATTTCTCTTCTCAGTAGACAGACACACTCCTGCAGTTCTGCTGAACATAAGACAGAACAGAGAGCAACAGAAGAAAACAGCCAATGAAGGGCAGCACATTGCAGCACGAGGTGCCCACCCCATGGAGAAACGCGCTGCCAGCAGGCACCAGTTTGCCATCAGCCCTCTTCCCACAATTTGGGTGGAAGATGATTCACATCACCGTTGCTTTTTGCTTACCACAAAGGAAGAAACAAGCACAATTCTGCAAAATTTAAATCTAGTCCAAAGATCTTGTCAAAATCATGAAAGACACAGATCGAAGAAACAGGGCAACAGGCCACAGCACCAGAAAACAATTCATTTTTGAAGCCACAGAACACTAGCTTGACTCATTCTACATAAGAGGAGCAAACAACTGAGAAGACCAAGAACAATTGGCTGCCTACACCACCAGAAGGCAGTTAGTTGGCCTAGCAGAGTAAAATCTGCTGTTTAGTCACATGGGCTGTTTTGATGGATCCTACTGACTACAGATCACAGATGTGTCCAGGTGTCTTCTAACAGCAATAATAAAACAGCACTATAAAACTAACTTCTCCCTACTGGAGCTGGACAGGAGTCATTGCAGGAAAATTCACAGTAGAGCAATGCTTTCAGAATCTGACCCAACCTCTTTCATATCAGCTACAAACTCACATAACATCTGCATTGCTTTGGCTTCTGAAAGTGAACAGAGGGTCTGCACAGACATCCTGGCGCTCCCTGAACAGAGGGAGGGAACATTTTAGGAATACTGCTACCATGAGCTACTTCGGCTCTGTCAAACCTTTCTTTCAACCTCTTTCTCACAACCAAATCCAATAGCAAGGCTGCATTAAAAAAAAAAAAAAAAAAAGCAAATAAAGCCTAACAAACAAAAACAAATCACAGACAGCAAAGAATGATGAAAAACATCCCAATTCTTCCAGTTTTGCAGCTGCTGAGCAACACTGAAAACAGTGTCACACCTCAAAAAAACAGGTATTACTTATTCTAAACCCATACTATTCTTACAACAAGTGCTGCTGCTCACTTCTAAGCAACCCCACAGAATTTCTTCTGTAAAGCTTCTGGAGTAGTTTTACAAGTAGTTTTCATAGCACTGTATGCTTTTACACAGCTTCTCTCTCTAGAGCTAGCAAACTTTTGTCTTTTTTTGATACACCACTTGATCACTGAATCACTACATACCAGAAGAGGTAGGTTGGTGTATTTTGTTTTTAAACAAAACTCTGAAACATTATGGGGAGAAAGACCAGGCAAAAATCCCTGTGTGTTTCTTACAACACTGAGAGTTGAAATGACAACAAAGCAAGACCTTCAAAAATTGCTTGGAGATACAAAGACACAGCAAATGCTACCTGCAGTCAACAAGAGGACAGTGACATTCAAATGACTGCCTGCTTGGAATGATTCAGTTTTGAGTTCCTCAGAAAACAATAACTTTTTGCCAAGATCTACAGGTGTAGCTTACATTGATAAAGCTCTATCTGACAAAGAATACTTGAGATGTGATCTCAAGAACTGTAAATGCAATTAAACAACTTGAATAACTCTAAGCTCCAAATCTAAACAAAAAACAAAAAATCATGTTGTTGTAGGAATGAGTTTACAAAACAAACTTTTGCAAGGCAGTTACAAACTGAAATCTCCCCCCAAAAATGCTTGTGTTTCAGGCTATTACTGCCTCCAATAACCACAGAGTTGGGCTAGATGTAACAGTTTTACAGCAGAAGCATCTGAACAGCTTCAGCTGCTGCTACGTTCTTCAATGATTTGGAGAGAGATGTTTTGCTGCTGATTTTATCAAGTAAAGACAAGGCAATTGCAGCTCCTGCTGCTGCAAAGCCTGGGAGTACGGATTTGAGCACCATGCTCCAAAGTTACCTCAAGGGTAAGCACAGATTTTCTGGCACAACATTTAACCCCACACTTCTGCTTTCAACTGCTAAATGTCCAACAGCTTGGCAGCTGGAGCAGGGCACTCGCACACCATTAGCCCCATCAGCCCCTGGGCCCTGAGCAAAGAACCATGCTCAGATGGCTGTTTGCCAAAGCCTGAATCTGTGATCATCCCAAATACCAAGGAAGTTAGAGAGATTTTAAATGCTGCAGTTATGAAAGCTTTTTAAAATGCTGTAGTGATTCGGCCATATCTCTGCAGTCCCACAGTGATCCATTTCACATCACTTTTATAATAGATTTCTGGAGATCATAAATGCCATGGGAGGTTAGCAACCACCTGCCCTTTATTTTGTGTCTTAACTACATTCAGCATCCTAAAGAGGCAAAACAGCACTCGGTCACCTGAAAGAGCAGATGTGGAACTGCAAAAAAGAAATGCATTTTGTTATCACAAGGCAGCACTAAATATGGTACATTAGATGCATAAAAGGATCACACACTTATTTACACTACTTTAACTGTCAGTATTATCCTAAGGTTTAGTTTTGCACTCTTTTCTTTGCAGGAAGGGTGTTTTATTACCTTAAGTCTCTGATTGAAAGCATCAAACAGCAGTTTGATTCCATCCTGAGTCAGGTTAAGGATGAGGTCGTGGCTAAGAGGTGACTGCAAAACAAGAAAAGCTGTTAGGCCTATAACTTCAGGGCTTCTCCATTCAGATATATAATTCTTGTACAAATGGGTTACCTTGGAAAAAAAACAAAACTGCCTCAGAAAACAACTCTTTGTTCAATGAATACATGTAACGCAAATACATTTAGCCAAAGCTTCCAATGCCTTCAGCTGTCTTACAGCAACAAATAGGGTCTCTGAATCTTGCAGGAACTCCCAGAAGGGCATCTGTCCATTATTAAGTTGAGAGGGAAAACAAGCATCCTCAGAAACAAACACATCAAGCTTAGTATCACACACAGACATCACACAGGGGCAGTCTGCCACAAATAACACATCTTGCATCGCAACAACATCACTCAATAGAAGGACAGCAAGAAGGCTCTCCACTTCAGAAAGCCAGGAGTGTCAGTCTTCTTCAGGCCTGAAAAGGAAGGCTTCAGACTCCTCTGTTGTGAATTTTGGTTTCCTTAGTTACTGTGAATCATAATAATTCAAAGCCTAATTTGCAGTCTGCTGGAGTCAATAGGAGACATTCCACTGGCTTCCCTGTGTCTGGACAGGCTCCACGCCACCTCGGCCTGCCGCAAAGCTCTGGAAGCAGCTCACTCCTGCACTGGTACAACCCATGCACATACAGCCTGCTGCTCCTAGTTCAGCTATTTGATAGCCCACCACCAAAAACACACTTGCTTTGAAAAGCTCTACCCTCCATATCCGTCTGTTCAGAGGAGGAAAGAGGCTACATGACAGGCTGGTGGCAATACTCATGGCCCTAGAGCTGCTCCAGTTATCTAGCAGAAGACTGACACAGAATGGGACACCTGGGGCAAATTCTAGCTTCTCTATGAGCAGCCACATCATACAGCCCTTTCTTACGAATCAAGCAGTCTTAAAACTGCTATTCTACTTCTCTGTTCTACTGGAGGAAGTCTGTGTTTTGACTGTCAGAACTTTAGTTTTCATCCCAAGTTTTCTCATCTCGTTGCTGCCATGCCAGCATCATAGCTTGAATACTTCTGTGCAACTCCCACCCCTTCCCAATCCACATCCTCAGTGTCACATTGCTAGGACCAAATGAGCCTGAGGGCTTTCAAGCCCCTGTGCTGCTGATTTCCTATTCCCCTTGCCTGCTCCCCTCACGCTATCTGAAGTCCTAACAGCACCCTGCACAGCAGTAATACTTCACTCACAACTGCTGGCAAAGCCCTCATGATACGGTCTAGAATTGAAGCAGCACTGCCTTAGAGACACAGATCTGAGAAAAAAAGGTCTAATTCTGACCTTAGGAGGGTTTTTTTTTTTTTTTTCCCTTAATTCCCTTACAAAACAAATTTTAAAAGGCTATAGAAAACCACAACAGGATGCATTATATCTAAAATACAACAGCATGGTAGCTCTGAAATGAGACATGATCTGCATCTCACTGGTTTCTAAGCAGGCTATTCCAAAACTAACGAGAGCATCGTAAGGCATCCCACTTGTGTCAGGTTAAAAGGAGAGACGTGGGCAGATTTAATTGCATTTAATTGTCATATTAATTTTTGAAAGGAAGTGCTTGCTGCCAGAGTTTTAGAATCAGAAATGAGATGGAACAACTTGAAATAAGTAAATGCTCCATAAGAGGCGCAGGTCCATCATGCCTTCTAGCACAGGACTGCTCACCCTGTGACTCTACAACCAAGAGGAACAGCAGCCTCACTGCTTATCTAAACAAGCCTAGAAATAATTCTGGAACATACTGCAATAAGACAACTAAAACACCTCCAAATGCATCAAGGACATAGGGCTACAATTTCAATAACTGAACATTCAGTCATCGTGAGAGCCAGGAATCCACATCTGAAACAAAAGGAGTAACTCATCTAATTACACGAAATACGTATCCAGCAGGAAACCACCAGAGCTGAGCTTGTTCCTCAGCCATTCAGTTCTCACTGTAAATGCATGAGTCCTCAACCTGTACATCTAAAATAAAATTAAACATTGGCAGACTTTGCCTTTTTCCTGATGCAAAGACTTACAGCACATGCGTATCATCTTCTGACTGAAGTGCATTTCACATAACATGCTTGGGGCCTCCTCTGCCCCACATCCTTCCCCCTTCCTTCAAATGAAGTTAGTATGTATTTACTTCATTTACTTCATCCAGCACAATGCTTTCCCCTCTAGTCCTCTTTTGGACAATGTCAAGCATATTAGGAACTAACAAATCTTCAATTACAAATAACGATCAACACATAACAGATTTAAATTACTGTCCTTCCTGCAGATAGATCTGCAGATCCAGAAAAGCATGGAAGCGTTTCCCCATCACCACCCAACCAAACACCAACATGGAAAGCAACGAATACTCAGCTCCAGGCTGCCCGGGGAGTGGGGAGTCAAAATCCCTGGGGGTGTCCCAGAGCCATGGGGATGTGGCACTGAGGGATGTGGGCAGTGGGCGTGGTGGGCTGGGGTTGGACCTGGGGATGTGAGGGGTCTTTCCCAACCATAATGGTTCGAAGATTTGAATAATACTTTAACACTTGACAACAACAACAATAAAAAAACAGGCTAGAATTATCCCACAGATTACAGAACATTTCCTTCTTCAAAGGGAAAACAACAAAAGCACCTCACCACCGCATCCACAAAACCAGTGTCTGTTAAACCACTGTGCTGTGTGTTGAGGACTATTACATTTGATGCAAAACTATTGTAAAGGCCACACCTCTGATGTGATCTAGTTCAGTTTTGAGTAATACAGGTGTTATCATGACACAGTATCAGTGTGTGCCACGGCACCCTAACTGCAGGACACAATGAGGTGAGTGATGTGACCAGACCAGCTGTACTCACCTGCTCACTGTAGAGAACCTGGACATTCTTGATAATGCGACAGTGCTTCTGGAGAATTGCTACAGCCTGAGCCAAAGGCATTCCTGCAAAAACAACAGCGGCATTTCTCCAGTTCACAGACTGGCTCACCCCATGTTTGGGCAAAAAGGTTACGGATGAGGCAGAGTCATCATTGGCAAACAGTGCATTACGACACACAGGCATGCAACTGACAAAGGAGCCTACCTGACTCACACTATCAGCCCAAACCCATGCTCTAGAACTGAAAGGCCATTATTTACCCACCAGCTTGCAGCATATAAGAAACGTTGGGCTGGCCACCAGTCAACGATACAACAGCCTGAAGCAAATACCCACCGGCGTCAGTCAGCATTCTCATACACACTCCACAAGTTCCTGGGTGCATTTTATGGTGTACCTTTCAGTCAGGCCTGATAAGCGACCAAGCAGTTGTACAAGACAGATAAAAATACAACATATTCACAGCAGCTCTGCTGCTACAGCTGTCGGAAGGCGCTTTATCTTCTCAGCTTACAGTTTCTTCAGCACACGGCAGCTTCCAGCAGCAAGCGGACGGCAGATTTGATGAGGAAAAGCAAGTGAAGATAAAGATACTCCAGCTGCAGCTCCAGGGCCTTTCCAAGCGGCGTGTGATCGCGCTCCGGGTTTGGCATTTATAAGATAGAGCACAAGCTCATAATTTCAAGGTTTTATCCCTCAGTAATTGGTGCAAGTCAATTATGGTTTAGTTATCTGACATTCTGTTTGCATTCCTCACTCTTTCCTTCTCTATGTCTGGTTCTTAAGCTTTAAGCAAATTGCCTCCATTAGAAACCTTCAGCAGAGGAACTACAGCTCCCTTCGGCTAACAGCTTGGGCACTGGAGCTCTCAGACAGCAGCTACGCCCTTCACTTTGTGCACACAGCTCCAGAGCACCTTTTAGATATTATCTATGGGAAAAAAAGGATACTCTCAACTATAAATCACACATTGCTCCCTCCATCAGGACCAGTTCTGCTTTAACTCTCCTAACTCTGAGGGAATCTTTGCAGCACAGTGCTGATCTATGTGCCTGTCGCTCCTGTACAGTGCAGCCCTCCTGGGATGGTGGCATCCAGCTGTGACAAAGTTTGATACATTAGACCTACAGTGATTCCATCTGTAAATACTGTATACAAATGTTTCTGGCAAAACTGTTTCCAAAAGCGTGAGCTAATAAGGAAAACAAAACAGGTGGTTGTGCCTAGAAGTCCTATACCAGAAAACACTACAAATTCCGAAAGAGAGCACTCTTTGAGTATCTATCAACAACAATAACAAAACCAACATGTACAGAGGCACACAGTTAAGCAGAACTCCTTCCTATTCGCCAGGAAACAACAGCCACCATGCAGACTGAGCAGCTGAACTCTGCAGCCTGCTTGGAAAAGACAGCTAAGGGGTAAATAGTAATTCCAAAGTGGAACAGCCTCCTGCTGCTGTTTATGATTCTAAGACTAAAGATGCTGCTGTGAAAGCTATGCATCCCTTAACCTAGCAGAAGCTGTGCTTCCATTTCAGCAAAGGTGATTTCAAAGCATGAGACTCATTTTCAAAGTCAGTATTTCCCAGATACTTGCAGAGCATACGCTCACAGCAAGCACCAGCAGGGCTCCCTCAGAAATCCACGTGGTGGAACACAAACCCAAGCTGGGTTTGTAGCCCAACAGAACTGCTGTAACCGTGGGTCTGCGAGCGTGCAAACAGCTCACGTGATGCCATTACTCAGAGCTCTCTCACGCTGCGAGCAAACAGACGTGGGCTGATTTCATTCTGTTTTGCTGAGAATCAAGCAGACTTTGCCATGCAACTGTGCATTAAAGCTATGAACAGGAAGCTAAGTTCTCCAGAAGCAGCCCTCAGAACCCAAACATAGAAGGGACCGCATCCTCCTCTTCCTCCACTAACAGGGAGCCAAGGGAAGAGTGAGGAATCTGGGGTAGTTCTCTTCACTCTTGTGGCACTGACACCCTGATCCTCAGTGAAAGCACTGATAGGAGCTCTAGCCCTCTGTCTTTCTGAAGGGGTAAGAAGACAAATCACAATGCACCGAAGGGAAGTGAAACACTGTCAAAAAAGAAAGTATAAAAGGCAGCAGAAACATACGTGTACCTTAGAAATTACACATCTAACGCTAATAACACAGCTATAGGCACTGCAAAATAAGGATTTAATTGTTCTCTTTCAAACAGCAGGAATGTAGCCCGAGAGGTGCGGCGACCCAGGCACCCAGCCGAGCACCAGACACAGCCTCGGTGAAATTTTTCAAGCTCTGGTCACACAGTGAGTCAACAGTGCAGCCAGAAACAGAATCCAAGAACTCATGTGAGAAGTTCTCCCGGCATTTCCCCCCAGCCATCTCCAGTACAGGCACAATGCTGGGAGCCAGGCAGGTCAGGAGCGCTGCCGCGAGTGTGGCTGAGAGTAGATTTACATGGGTGCCGAGTGGAACAGCGGGGCAGCACGGATCCCACTCCCACTTGCACGGCCAGAGCGGCTCCACCAGCAGGGACACAGCAGCACACAGCACCGTGAGCACAGGGCAAAGCGTCTCGGTGCCGAGTCAGCCTCCTGCTCCATACCACCAGGTCATGCTAATTATACATTAGACTCATCACGTGGTGGCTATATTTACTCCAAGAATTACAGCTGAGTTTCCTCCCTCTCACATCTATGCGTGTGTACACACAGACATAAACATAGTATGTAATTTTAGCCATGAGATTGTGTTAACGGGCTTCTTTGGTGGGTTCTTGGGAAAACAAGAATCATGTCTCCATCCTCCTCTCTCTCTTTTTTCACTTTTCTTTATGTAAGGAGATTGGGGGGCTGTCAATGCAGCGCACGCCCCAGCCGTGGTCATTAACACCATTTCAGATGGCACCTGTTTTCAGGCAACGCCTGACCCAGAGGGCAGCAGCGCTGTCCACGGCAGAGGATTGAAACCGGGTGGGCTTTGAGGTCCTTTCCAACCCAACCACGCTGCGGTCCCACGAATCCACACCCCCAGGGGATCACAGACCTCCAGGCACAGTGCGAGGGGACGGCAAGGAGACCACCGGGATTTCCGAGCGGGACACCGCGCCGATCGGCCTCCAAAGCCCTCCAACACTCTCTCGAGCCACCAGGCTGCACCAACCCTGACCTCGCAGCAGCCCTCGGCGCCTGCCGTGTCCCACGAGCAGCCTCCAGCCCGGAGCACGGGACACACGCACCGCGCAGGACGGCACCGGCCAAAGAGGGGCGGGGGGGGGAATAGGGGGGTGTCGGGCTGGAAAACGGGATGAGGCGGCGGCCCAGCAGGCGGGGGGCACGGCGGGGCAACGGGTGGGAGGGGGAGGGGGAGGAGGGAGGGGGCGCCGCGGCCCGAGACAAAGGGAGGCAGCGGGCCGGGGGGGGGGGGGCAGGCAGCCGGGAAACAAACAAAGCGACGCGGGGCCGGGGCGGCAATGCGGGGCCGCGCAACGCGGGGGGGGACGGAGAGCCACGCGGGGGCCCCGCGGGCGCGGACTTACCCAAGGTGAACTCCCATTGCTCGTTCCCCAGGGAGCGCTCGGGAACCACCTCCAGGTCCAGCATTGGCGCGGAGGCCCCGGCGGACGGGCAGCGGCGGCGCCGGACCCCTGCGGGGAAGCGGGGAGGAGCGGGGGGGGCCGCTGAGGGCCGAGGGCCGGCGTCCCCCGCCCCGCGCGCCCCGCGCCGTCGCCATAGCGACCGGCCGACCGGCCCCCGCCCCCTCCCTCGCCGCCCCCCTCCACGCGGGCGGGAGCCGCCGCAGCCCCGCCGCACCGGCGGAGCCCCGGGTGTGAGGGGGGGACGCGGCCCCCTCCCCCCCCCCGCGCCGCGGGGCCGCCACTCACCTCACTTGCGGCTGCTGAAAAAGCGCTTTGCGGCCGTCGTCAGGCGAGGCCGCGCCGGGGGCGGAGCGGGAAAGGGGGCGGGGTCAGGGCGTGGCCACGCCCCTCCGCCTCTCGGGCCGGGGCGGGGGGCGGCCGCGGTGCGGGGAGCCGCGGGTTCGAGGCCCGCCGCGGGGTGGGACGGGGTTACGGCGCGTGGGAGGCGTGGGATCGCGGAGCATCTCGAGTTGGGGGCGGCCCGCACGGATCGCCGAGTCCAGCCTCCGTCTCCTCACAGCACAACGCGGACCCTACGTCTGAGAGCCGCGTCCCAGTGCCGTGCCCGTCGCGCCCCGGGGCGGAGCCGTCCCCTCGCACCCCCTGACCCCCCCGACGCCGCTCCCCGCCGTTCCCTCGGGCCGCGCGGGAGCCGTGCTGGGAAAGGCAGGGCACAACAACGAGGAAAAACCACCGAACCCCGATCTCGTTTTTCTGGTTGAAGCACAGGGGTGTGGAGCAAAGGCTCGGGTGGAAATTAGTAAGAGGCACCAGGCAGCTCAGCCGGGCGGGCTGGTGAGTCATCCAGGAAGAGAGCGGCGAACGAGGTCAGCGCTGCCGAGCGAGCAGACGCTGCGGGGTCCCGCAGCCCCCGGGCACGGCGCCGCGTCGGAGGGGACCTCGAAGCTCACCCAGCTCCAACGCCCTGCTGCGGGCTGGGCTGCCGCGCACCGGATCCGAGTGCCCAGGGCTTTGTGCTCCGCGGTCCGAGCCCACAAAGTTGCCCGCCGTGCCGAGCGAGGGCGTTCAGGAGAGAGGGGATGCTCTGGAGGCTGCAGGCAGCAGGGAGGGACCGACGTCCCTGCTCAGCACTCCTCATCCCGCGGTGCTCAGCCCTAGGGGCACACGTGGCTGGCGTCACCGCAAGTGGCAATAACGGGGCTCTCCCAGGGGCTGCGATGCCACCAGGCCCCACCACAGACACACATCGAGGCATCTCCTCGAGAAGCCGTCATGATTTAACCCTCTCACTGTGTCCAAATCATAGAACTTCGGAATCATTACTGTTGGAAAAGTCTGCTCACATCCCCAAGTCCAAACCAGCCCACCCCCACCATGCCCACTGCCCACGTCCCTCAGTGCCACCTCCCCAGGGCTCTGGGACACCCCGAGGGACGGTGACTCCTCCCATCCCTGGGCAGCTGTGCCACTGCATCACTGCTCTTGGGAAGAATAATTGTTCTTAATATCCCACCTGAACCTCCCTTGGTGCAAAGTGGTGCCATCACCTCTGATCCTGGGATAAAGGGAGGGAGCATTAAAAAAAGCTGGCAGCAGTGACCGGAACCCACAGCCAGAGCAGGAACCCCGGGGTTCCAGAACCTGGCATAGACTGTACCCTCGTTGCTGCCATTCCCAGTCCCTGGCTTGCTTGCTGCTGGGCCAAAGTCACAACCCCAGGGAAGAGGAAAAAAATAATGCAGAAGGTACCAGGAGCGAGCAGAAGCACAGCAGGATGAGCAGCACTGATGATGAATGCAGGCTGCCCTCTCCCGATGAGATTTGACAATGCACATTGCTTTCACAGCTAGAAATATTTCTAAGTAGCATCTGCTAACCCTGCCTACGTGCCTGGCTTTCCTGTGCTGGGAAGGGGGTCGGGAGGTCTTCTCTCACCCGTATGCACAGGATCTCAGTGGCACCGGCATCACTTCCCAACCCCAAGAGTTGGGATCTTCCCTCCTCACCCTTCTGTGCCATTCGCAGACCTCAGCCCATCCGGTTGCACTTAAAGCCATGATGCATGCAGGACAAAATCTAAATAGGCTTCATTAGGAACAGATGCACCCATTGCTCTTTTATCCCAGAGGCTGCTCAGCCTGGGAGCAGCGCATGCTGTGATGCAGCACGATGCTGCCCTGGGCTCCCACAGTTTGGGGTGATGGTTTTGTTCTTCCCAAGTTACTCATCACAATGCCACACTCAAGTAGGATAGTGCAAGCAAAATGATGCTCGGTTCTTCCATTAATCACTAGCTTTAAATAGGGGTCCATGCCCACCACAGAGGAGCAAGATGCTCCTTCCAGCCCAGGATGGAGCAAAGCCCTGCAGAACCACAGCCCAAATGCCAGGCTAATAGCTCTTCCTGAGAAGGGGGTATCTTCAGCACTGGAGGCAAAACCTTGGGCAGTAGGAGGCAGCAGCAATGTGCAGCCTGGGCAGGTGGATGGATACAGGCAGCAGAATGCTGCGTGGTTCAAAGCAGCAGTGAAAGATGTGCTGCTGCAGGGTGGTGGAAGGAGTCACGCATTCCATGAGCCCACTGAGACCACGTCCTGACAGCCCCTTGCTCTGCAGAGCAGAACTGAAAGCAGAACCAAAAAGAGGATCCGTCCTTGGTGTGGGAGCGCCTGCCCCAGCAAGGAGGGGACGAGGGGGCTCCTCGGCAGCACCAGGTGGGGAGCAGGGGCTGCTCAGTGACCTGGTGAGGAGCAAGTGGCCCAGAGCTGCAGCTCCCAGCTGGCCCCATGCAAGACTGAACTCTTTCCAAGCTTGCAGCCCCCAGAGTTTCTCCCAGTCAGTCCTGTCTCATGTAGGTACACTCTAACTTTAAACCCACAAACCTGCCCAAGCCAGAGCAGGAGGAGCGGCAGCACCTCCCTGCCACCGTGATGCACCCTTCTGAATCCATTGGCCCCCCAGCTGAGACAGACCAAGACCCCTGTTTGGGGGAACAGCTTCCGCATCAGCATGGGCGAGGGCTAGGAGAGGCACTGCAACACTTTTCTTCCGAAAGCACAATGAATAAATAGAAGGGTTGAGGTGGAAGGGACCTATGAGGGTCACCAAGTCAGAGAGCCAAGTGCAAATCCTCAGGAAAGAAACCTGCAGACATCCACCAAGCTGAGGATGACCCTTCCTGCCCAACTGCCATGGAACAGCAGCCCACAGTGCTAAAACTGTGCTCAACATTAGCCAGGTTTTGCACATCTGAGCAAGAAAGACATCCAGTGAGGAAACCCAGCAAGAAGTCTTGGCAATTAGCAAGGCTGAACCAGGCAAACTTTGAGCACATTGTGCAGCAAGCAGGAGGAGCTCAATGGCAGAGCTGTGCTTCAGGGGCGGGCTGACAGCAGGAGATAGCTCTCCATAGTAGGACACAGCCCAGAACCATGACAGTAAGATTCACCACAAGGACCGAGGAGGCTTTGCTGCCCACTGCCCAGCCTCTCTCCCTCCACCAAACACTGAATTCTCCACTGTCAATCCTCGCTGTCAACTCCGCACACCTCCACGAGGAGGAGATGTTTGTGTGGAAAGATCCTGCAAGCATTTATCCACAGCTACAAGCAAAACCTCAATGCATGTATGTTGTAGAGTCACCAGTTTTGGTGAAAAGCAGATTGGCGCCTGCAAACTTAAAGCAAACCTCCTTCCCTTGGAGAACAGCGGCCTGGGACACACAGGGTCACTACCAGGAGTCCTGTGGGCACTACTGAGGAGCCAGCAGAATCCGACCAGCTTTGGCCAATGGAAGCACAGCCATTCCTGTTCTCAGCATCCCTGCTCCCTGGGCAGACATTTGGGTTTTGCACAGTTGCCCGCTGCTGGTCACACCAATGTGGCTGGGTTTGTGCTCAGTTGTCCTGTGTTTTTTCCCCCACTCCTCAGCTTAAAGAAATGAGCCCGAGGCAATTTTGACATTTCGTTTATCTCAATCTGTAATCAAGAACGATGTTTAATAAAGCTCCTAAGCCGTGAGCCTGAGCAGCTGTGAGCTGTACAGCAGGCAATGAATATGCATGCTCTGGGATTTGCATTTTGTTGCAGCGTGGACAGCACAGGAGGCAAATGAGTTACAAGAAGCATCACCCATGCAAATGCACCTCTCTGCTGTAACTTCTCACTGTAATTCTCATCCTCAAAGCCACTTTCATAACTCACTTATTTGCATTGGAAATGTCCTAACAAAATACTGTACTTTAAATAAATCAGCCCTGCTTCAGTGCAGACAATACCCCTTCAGTAAAGTGGTGTCCCTCTACCCACTATGTGGATATGGCTCTTGTGAGACACCAGAGTACAAAGGAACAATAAAGCGTTCCCATTTCCATCACTACCTGGTACAGAAGTGGAACTGAGAGCCCAGAGCAGGACAGCTGCCACCAAAGGGAGCCTGGGAAACTCATGCAGATTTTGAAAAACTAACTAACATGGAAGAGCGAACCACATCCCAGCTTCTCTCAGGGCAAGGGCTGCATAACTGCAAGAGCTTGGAAAGAAAGCCAGGAGTTACCGTACAACAGGCAGGAGCTCATTGGGAGCTTCAGGAACACGGAGTGACATTGCGTGGCATCTGGTTTTGTTTTCAGAGCTCACTCCGTCCCAGCTGCAGAAGCACTCCACAGGGCTCACAGACAGCAGGCGCTGCGTGCCGGGCGCTGCCTGCTCCATTTGCAGGCAGGTATTAAAAAGCATGAAATAAGGTTACACCTCATTCTTTTGCACGGAAACACTTTCAGAGTCTGAAGTTACTAAAACAACTCTTTGCATGATTCTGGGACACGATCAGCACGGTCCCGTTGGCTGCTTTAAGGTTTACCTCCTAAAATCCTGCAGTTTTATAGGAGGGTTTCAGATGTAGCAGTTAACACTCATATCTGCCCTGCTGTGCTTTAACTCTGGTTCCTCACTTCCTCACCTCCAACATGTAAACCATCTTTCTTTTGATCTGCTCATCCACAGCAGCGTGACCTTTAATCACAGAGTGAAGGGATTGGAAGGGACCCTAAAGGCCATCTGTTCCCACTGCCTGCACTGAGCAGGGACCCCCACAGCTCCATCAGTGCTCACAGCCCCGTTCCCTGACCTTGGCTGCCCGCAGGGATGGGGCAGCACCAGCTCTCTGTGCAGCCTGAGCCACTGCTTCATCTCCCTGAGTGAGGAGAACTTCTTCCTTAGCTCCCCTCTTCAATGGGAGCCCATTTTCCCACATCCTATCCCAGCAGACCGCACTGAAGAGCCCACTACCCCCATTGCAGTGTGCCCCCACCAGAGCCCCCCGGTGTCAGAAAAGACCTCACAACAACTCGTTTCGCTACACAGAAGTTTATTATGAAAGTTAAACGTACAACACAAAAGGTAGCAAAAGCGATCCTGTAGCTTAAGGCAACTCTTGCAGGAGATGAATCCGAGAAAGATGATGCAACTTCAGTTTAAATAGAAATTATGAAAAAATATCAAATTGCATCAATAACTTAAAATGCACTTTAAAAAGTCTTTGCTAACCAGCAGAGGGAAGGGCTGTGATCTTAATGCCAGCATTAAGATATCGGAAGCAGCAGAATGCTAAATGACGATAGGGAAGGTTGGGTATTTACACCGAGATGGCAACGTTAATAGCTGATAGCATCATTTCCTGTGTACTCGTGGCTTAAAACCACCATCTGAAACGTTAGGAAAACCTTTTAAAATAGACCTTCAGGCTATTCCATCAAAAACACACAGATGGCAGAGGAGGCCCAGGGCTGGGGCACGCGGTGCAGAAACACCTCGGAAACGTTTCCTTGGGGGAGGAAGAGCAAAAGGGACAGGTGGGCACAGCGCAGCTCCTGGGCGAGTCACATTTCAGGTGGAATATCAGAATCTCTCTATTGGATGGCATTCTCACAGCGTACAGTTATTGACACAAAGTGAATGTTAAATATTCGCCTGGTTAACATACAAAGGTTCTCCTTCACGTTGACATCTGCGTACATTTCTGCAAGACCCCTTTTACATCCACTGTATCACCGTTAACGAGGAACGTAGTTATCCTAGTTATAGAATTTAATAAGGATGTAACTGCTCTTATCGTACAGCGCTTCTGCCCTCAAAATCATTAATAACACAGTGAGATTAGATCACGTATCTTAACGCTGCCAAACGACACCACATTTCCAATCGATTTTCTTCAGATATCAGATGGACACAAAGAAAAACGTGGCACAGAACCCTTCCCCACCACCACCACCCGAGGAAAGGAAGGAAATCCACACAGATTAACTCTCCCCCAGCCGTACCCTGCCAGCAAACACAGCACTCACTGCAGCGCGGCCTCTGTTTGCATACAATTTAATGGAAGCATCCTATGCATGGTCTGAGGTTTTCCGCACACAGCCTCATCTCAGCTCCTCACCATTCAGCACAACCTTACAAAAAGCATAAGATACAAAATGTACTCGAAGCAGCCATCTTAACATCATTCCGTACACATCACCTCGGCAGCCCATCGCCTCCATTCCCAGTCTGTGTGCTGCTGGGTCAAACCATAGAGTTGCAGTATCCCTTCGTAAGCACTGTTTAAAAAAATCCCTGAATAAACCAGAAGCCAGCCTGCGACTTCCCATGAGTTTCAGTAAGGTACTATATACAGCGGTACCAGAACCACCCAAACTCACTGAACACTGAATAAAACGCAAGACAGATTTTGGGGCAGAACGCACTCGTGCATGAAAATATAGATTTTAAGATTTGATCGTTTAAAAAGTGGAACCGATGAACGTTCAGCGGTTAGAAGAATACTGCAACTGTAAGGCTGACGAGCCAGCAGTCTGAAACCCGATCCCAACAGCACTGATTCACTGGGTTCAGCTTGGAAGTAACGCCAAATAATGTCAGCAGTTTTTAAGTCTTGCAAATGTAGAAAAAAAGAAATCGGAAAGAAAGATAAGAATGCATATCTAATATAAAGCAGGAGCACGAGAAAGACAATCAAAACTCCAGAAGCCCATATTAAAAAAATTAAGCTTGGAATGCTTTGGCTTCCAGCAGTTAAAAAAAACCAACCAAACAAAAAAACAACAGAAACAAAAAAAAAGTTTTTAATCTGTAATATCTTGACCTATTTTTAAGTGACAATTTTTATTACAGTTGAGAAAAAAATGTTTTTATAGCTGCATAAGTTTCCATTTCACTAAAATAGTGCCAACAAAAATAAGTTTGCATAGAAAAACAAAATTTCAAATTGCCACTGGCTACATGCTTAACATGGGAAATGCAGGTATCGTAACATAAACATAGTGCAAACCATGGCAGTTCACGGTGGTTCTGACTGCCGCAGGTCAGGAAACAGACCATAATATACCCAGTTATCACAGTTTCTGGTCTTTATTCAATCCTTTGCCAAGTAGAAGCAATGTATGTTGCAGACCCATGGCACTGCTGATGCTGATTAACGTAGTTTGAGATCGTCACCACTTCCTAGGTTGGATCCAGGACTAGGGTCTTGTTGTCTTCTTGCCTGCGTTAATAAACACATGTTTAGGATCAACCAAATGACTGAAATCATCAGTTCATTTCATAAACATATCAAAGCACACATCAAAAAAACAAACAGTTTTAAGCCAGAAACTGCACTTCAAGCAGCAACCTCTCACAGAACCACCCTTTCCCCATGGGTTTGACATTCCCCACCTGAGGGACAGCTGAGGGCCTCTGGGGAGCAGAACAACATTGCTCCCGTTGTGCTGAGCCTTCGTCAGCACAGGGCAGGGCTGCAGCCCCATGGGCACACAGCCTTGCAGGCCTCCCGCAGCCAGGCTGACACACTGCCAGCAGCCCTTCAGCGCGGCAAGGCAGGGCTTCTGCCCCTCCATCCAAAACATGTGTTCTTCACTGTGAGATTCCCTTCTTCTGTTAACCTCTCCTGCAAACAGTCTCAGGACCCAGGATCAAGATTACAGTACCCATATGGCAGAGTACTTTACAGCATCCCCAAAGAGATCTCCCCCCAGTATGTGCGTGTGGCAAACATTTTGTTCAGCTTTTTATGGAACAAAGAGACACACCAACAAAACAGTACAGCTGAACCTATAGAGTGACATTCTCATTCTTTTTGTCATACATACATACTTTTGTCAACATACTCACTGGAGTAATACTATTTGGTGCACCAGTAAAATTAGCCGTAACACAAAACTTAAAACTTTAGTACTGATGGTTGAATCCCTGTATTAAAAAGAAAGTAACATCAGCTCTCCTTTAAATAAGGAGAGCTTTTGACACAATTTGAATGGAGCGTAATTTAAACAAGAAATTAAGGATGGTCAGTATTGATCAGCACCTGTAAGAAACACTTCCTTGCTTTCTCTGCCTGGCAAACAAATATTCACACAGCTAGCATCCCCACTTCTCCCAGCACAACAATCCCCACAGACACGAGCTGTGCATCATAAGTGTGCTGCGCTTCCTCTAAGGCAAGGAGGACCTGACCTCCATCCACCAGGAAGGTTTGTGGCAGGGCACAGCAGAGAAGGAGCCCCGGCTGCCCTACTGTGGGTGAGACTTTTCTATGGGCAGTTGTGCATCTCTTCTCCTGCAACTGAACATTATGCTCCTCCTGTTTCAGAGCCGTAACTCCAGGATTTTGAGTTTTTTCCTCTGTGCCCAAGCAGGCTGCTTTCAAGCAGCAAACACAAACGCAAGTAAATACTTACAAAGCCATTCAAATACTTCAATTTTAAGGCTGTGCTTATGTTCTAGGAACACTCTCTCTATGCAAGCCGTACTTCACAAAGCTTTGGTACCAACACCTGGGTGTCATGCTGGCACACTGGCCTGCAGCTTTCACCACAACCCGAGCAGCAGCAGGGCTGTGCTCCCAGCTGCTGGCACTCATTGCTGCATGGAGCCCCACGAGCTGCACCGGCTGAGCGAGCTGCCACATGCAGGCTTTCAGAACTGCATTCTGCACTGAAAAACAATAAGAAACAAAGCCCCAAACAAACAGTACTACGACGAAGGAGCGACGCCTCTCTCCTTCAGAAAGCCCTCTGTGCACTGGTGAAAGGGGAGCACGGCCCAAACACGGGCAGCACCACCACGGCCACTCGCAGTCCCCGAGTTCCCACGGTGCCACAGAACAATGCGAGCAGTTCAGCCAGCCTGTGACTAACGGTGACACGGCGCTGCTCTGCGGTGCTCCCGACCCTTCTGAGTCACACTTACTGACACAGAGGAAGCCTTCCCGCCAGCAGCGGTTACCCCAGCTCACAGCACGCTGCTTGTTCCTCCCATGCTCGGCTGCCAGCCCCAAGCCCTTCAGCCGCTGCCAACACCACGCTCTCTAATGCGGGCGGCTCTTTCCCTGCTCGCTTCTCCCTCCTTCCCTCCCTCCCTCCCTCATCTGGCTGACTTTGTGCTGCCAGCACAACTGGCCAGCTTCAGCCGTAAGGAGAACGAGAAGCCCTGCTTCCTTCCCCCACTGAAATACTGGAGCTACGTTTTCTTTTTCTGTGCAATAATCCCATTCTGACACACACAAAGTTCAGTGAATAAATCCCCGTACCCATCAGCATGTTTCCAGAAGACAGATTCCCTCCTGACCTTTTTGGTGGTCACACTGCCATTACTGCTTCGGAAGCAGTCACTATTTTGAATACCACGGATGGTACCTACTGCACTCACGTACCCAGTACAGAAATTGGACAGATGCAGGATTTTAGTTATTCAGGGGTCAGATCATCCTCTCACTCTGTTCTACTGATGCTTCCCTCAGCCAGTATGACCAGCAGTGTGGCGCTCATACAGCCCCGAAAGCAGCAGCCAGCATCACTGCACAAACCCACAGACTTCTCAGTAATGTGAGTGATCACATTAAAACGAGCGGCTGTCACCACATGCAGCGCAGGAGATTCTAAATCCTGATGGCATATTCCTTCCAGCCCCTGAAGGACATCTGCAAATTGCTTTCTTTGTAGAGATGCAGAACTATGGGAAACTGTATTTGGGATTTTCACATTTGTAAACCCAAATCATTCAGTTTTGCCTATCAGCATAACCACAGAAAACTTAATGATGAAGAACACCACAGTTTACTTCTTTTTCTTCAAGAGAAAACTCAGCTGTGATGTAAAGACTTTCCTGAACACAGCGTGGCTGTTCTGCGTGTCTGAACAGACACTTCTGCACCGAGAGCTGTACTAAAATTAACAAAGGAGCAACAGTTCCACTTTGCATATCCTTCTCCCATCGACCAGACTGTATCAAGATTTCTTCTGGTTCTGACTGTTCCCCAAGTCTTGTAAGAAGAAACAAAGGCACGTGCTCTTTAATGAAGAGCTGCCAAAATCCCAGCGGTACCCATCTAGTTAGTTACCAGGTTTGTACCCACACACTTCTCACACTTACTGGAGAAAAAGCCAGCAAGTTCATTCCTGCTGTTCTCCTGCTTTAAAATCAACAGAGCTGCTTTTTCAGAAAAGAAACCATATGCACAGTAATTTTATTGTCAAATTTCAGCAAAGACTCCAAGGTAAGGGCATATGGTTGCATTTACGCTCTGCCTAAAGTGGCCTTTTCTTTCAGGACATATGAAAGAATTCACGTGATTCATGAGATCACTGCTACTTGTAGGGCTTGCAGAAGCCACTACTGAATGGCTGCCAGATCTGCCCTTTCAATGATACGCAGGAGGCATGACAAATCACCCCCAAATGTACTGAGAGCACTCACTGCAGTATTTCATAGGAAGCATATGTGGATAAAGGTGTAGTTCTGCATTTCAGCAAGGGGGTTTACTGCTCTGTGCTGGAATGACAGCTGTCTCTCGCTCAGGAGCTCTTGTTTATTCGTGTGGCACTACAGTGCAGGAGCACAAACATGGAACGCGCCAGTCACTGTTCCACCAAGGTGCACAGCACAGAGTGCAGCACTCAATGTGCTAAGAGCACTGCACGCATGTGCAGCTGGAAATTAAAACCACTGGTGAGGAACAGGAGAAATCCCCCTGCACTGTGTGCAGACAGTGAGGACACAGCAGAGCATCAGGAATTGGGCGATATTTCTGGCCACTGACAAAGGGTAAAAAACAGCCTTCACAAGAATGCCACAAGTGTTCTCAACGCTCGTTTGTGGCAGGAACATGACCACCAGCGTGGTAGTCATCTGTGGTTCTGCTCAGGCTGTCACAGGAAGACGGAGGTTCCTTCTAGAGATGTAAAAACGGGCGTTTTCAGAACTCTCAGCACAGCTCATGAATGCACTGAATTGCAGTTTTTGCTCTAATTTCTGAAACACATACCTCATGAAGCCAGGCAGAAGCATCTCTATGAAGAATGAGCTCAGGTTCCCAAAGATTAAGGAGACCTGCTTCAATTAAAAGAGATGCATCTGTCTTTGCCATTGGGAAGCGGAGTACCCTGCCATGAGTCATGCACAGTGAGTCATGAGAAAACAGGAGTGATCCATCTTATCTCAGTGTATTTCATTTTTCAGTCAAATGCTGATTTTAAGTTGGAAGGAGGACTACCCTGAATGTTACTCAGCTGTCGCTTTGTGAAACAGTCAGTTGTAAATAGTACATGGATCCCATCACAGCTGTGACTCTCCTGAGACTGAATGGCAGCTTCCTTCCAAATATCACAAAACTGAATAGCTAACGTGATGGACACACAGGGAGTTTCAATATCCAAAAATATCCAGCTTTCAGCACATGAAACCATGCAAATCTTCTGTAACACTTCTGCAATACGGAAGGAATTATAACTGGCCACAAGCCATTTCAAATGCAGGAGACAGCATGATGACCAACCAAAAGAATTGCAGGAATGCATTCGCAAAAAACACCGACCAAATAACAAACAAACAAAAAAAATATTGCAAAACCTCCTGTACCTTTCTAGTCTAGATATTTACACTGAATTCATGGGCTGACAAAACGGGAATAACAGACAAGGTAAAAGCTACCATTTTGACTTGATGATAAACAAAGGCAAGTATCCATGGCAAGGAATATCCACAGCAATGCTCTAACACCAATGCTCTCTTCAACTGTGTACGTCCAAAATCTTCCCAAGCCCAAGTATAAGGCGATCAGCATAGGCTGAAAGTCATTCTGAGAATGCAATGCAGTAGTATTATTTTGCTTCTAAGTAAATGAGATAGCTTGAAGTCATCATCATCTTAGAATGGTGGACAGCATTCACTGCTTCCCTGGGACACGTGGGTAAAACAGATGTAGGAATCGTGGCAGTTCAGGAGGAAGACAAGCAGCTCCTCCAGATGCCAGCACACTTAAGACACCAGCAACCCCCTCCAAGCACCCGACCCTGCCCCATGCTATGTTGGTCACATTTTCAACACTGTCGATAAAACTCTTCAAGCTGTCTTTGAGCGTCTGTAACCACACTCTATTCATGAAAACAATGGAAAAATGCAACTAAATACTCCTGCCATTCCTATCTGCACCAACTCTCATTAGTTTCCAGATGTAACACCCTTTACCACTCTGTTGGCCTGAAA